CCAAAGCTCTTTAAACTTATTGAATAGTTTTCAAACAAACTTTTTAAACTTTTAAACTTATTGAGTAGTTTTTAAACTTTCAAACTTTCTGAGTAGCTACTCAGAAATCTTCCAAAGCTCTTTAAACTTATTGAATAGTTTACTACTTTCTCGTTCTTTAGGCTTATCATTGAAGTTTTCTTGGTGATGAACGAGTTGGGCATTTCAAATCGTCATGATTTTCGCGAAACTAGGAACAGATCAAAAATCAACAACAATCAAAATCAACAACACGACTTCTTTTTGGCACACAAGCAAGAAGACACGTAACATTCAACAGAAACACATAGCAGGCTTTGATTTTTTTTGACATAAAGTACACAAGGATAGTCGAAAAAGTTTGGATCTTGCTTGATCAGCTTCTCTAGCGTTATATTTTTGTTGAATGGTACTTTTAAGTCAAAACAGAATTCCTCGTGAATCCCACAGCCAGTTAAAAGAGTTTTCCTGAAATTCCTCATGTTTTTCACATGCTCTCAACTCCGCAATTTGGCACCTTTCATCTTGAAAGGTGAGTTGAAGATGGCAAATGAGCTTAGCGCTTTAAGAATCGGCTTAAACGAGGTAAAATTAGCTTTTTTTTCGTGTTAAACGGTTCAAGTAAATAGAAAAATTAGAGTTCGAAGAGCCAAAACCGACAAGTTAGGGAAAAGTTGAGGAAAACAAGATCAACAAGATGTTTGAACTTGTTCCTCTTGATCATCTTAAAGTTCTCTTCAATGACCATTTCCAATTAATTCTTTAATCAAATAGATGAGAATTGATAGAAATAAATGAACGGGGAAAAGGTGAAATGACCAAAAATCTATAAAAAGTGATCGATTTTGATTGAAAGGGTAATTTTTGATTTTTGGGTTGAAAAAAGATAAACAACTGACAATGGAAGATTGCTGTTGCTGTTGCTGTTGCGGTTGCTGTTGCTGTTGCTTTTTCTTTTTCTTTTTTTTTTGCTGTTGTTGTTGTTGTTGATGTTGCTGACAAAAGGTTGCTGTTGTGAGTGCATTGAACGGGTGATCTAGTCGTGTGTTTTGTAGTCAAAAAATGGAAACACACTCTTCCTGACGCACTAAAGCAATAGAAGTATCACGAGAAGGAATCCAAGAGTGAGTGCACCAGAAATAGTGAGCTTTGAAAGAGCACAAAGTACAAAGGAAATGAGTCTACGATTTTATCGATTCCTGTCAAAAAACCGAAGTCTTAGGCGAGCTACAGGAGTACTTTGTGCTCAAAAATGGAAACACAAACCTTTTTGGCACACTCAAGACACCAAATCATCAGAAAAATCAAGAATTCAAGGCACCAGATAGGGTAGGTTTCCATTTTTGTGCACAAAGCATACCCCAAGTAAAATGTTTCACTGCGATTGTGATTTTATTTGAGTGTTGACAACTTAACTAAAAAGTTTTAACTAGGGTAAGAGAAACGGAAAATTGGCTCAATTGCTATTCATTGTTCCTTTCGGACTTCGGAAAGCAATGCGGAAATAGCCAAGAAATTTTAGGAGGAAATAGAAGGAAACGTTTTCTTTCATTTAGAATTTGCCTTGCAAGCATAAAAAGTTCGCTAGCTACTTTGTTATTGTTATTATTATTAAATTGTTAGGCCTAGGTTGCAAAAATCTCAACATTTGTCTACGTTATCCGACTCCGATTCTTTCTGGTGAATATTTATGTATTCCTGCTCAATCGGATAGCTTTTTTAGCTCAGTTTTTTTAAATTTTACATGATATTAGACAATTATTGTCTTCAGATAATTTAAAAGTGCTTGTTTTTTGCATTCTATAAGTCCAATTCTTGGCTTTTCACTTAAAGAATGCTGTTATTCGTATTTTGACGTCGTAAAAAAGGATTTTAACTGGACAAAAAAACCGTTAGTTTGGAAATAGGGCCGAGTAGAAAATTTGCAAGAAATCATTTGTTAAATGTTAAACTTTCAAGTTGTAATCCAAAAGGATAAATTATTAAAAAATGGATTGGTATTCGTTGCAAAACTAAAAGAAATTCATCCAGTTAGTTATAGTTTTTATAGCTGGTTGATTCTGAGAAAGAATACGGGGATTTCCATGGTTATTTTGTTTTCTTCTATAGGAACTTTGAATAATAAAGATTGTTTTTTAGCAGACGCAAAAATAATTGCAGAAGTGAAGGTGTAGACAGCATTTTATTTGATTTCATTTTTCATTTATTTCATAGTTTTAGTGTTTTCTTGAACTTGAACTTTTAACTTTTCTATCTGAATTGAATGGAATTCATATCAAAATCGCATGGTGAATAAGACGGTAAAATGATTGTACTTTAGAAAACATCAAACTAGAAGGGAACGACTATTGATTGAAATCAAAAGACCAGAAATGCATTAAAAATTTTCCTCGAAAAGTTGACCTAAATGTTCAAGCAAGCTTGACTCTAGAATATTTATAATAAGACGATTACTTAGTAAGCAAGTTTTAAGCTAAAAGTTAAAAGCTGCTTTCAGTTGCTGCTTTCAAGCTGCTAAAAGTTAAAACTCTAGTGCTTTCATCAACCTTCATCTAGAAATCGATCAAGGGGGAATTTCTCTAAAAAGTTTTCTTAAAAGTTTTTGGTGAAGAAAAAGAGGGACCATGAGGGAATTGCCCTTCAGAATTCCAATCTGCGAAAATTGAAGTCGGTGCGTCGAGTCGGAAATTTTCTTTAGTTCTTTAGTTCTTTAGGGTAAAGGAGGTTTTCTTTGAGGATTCTTTGAGGAGATTCTGTGTTTTTCCGAGGACCCAAATTGGAACGCTGAAAAGACTGAAAAGACTGAAAAAAGGAAAATTTATTTGAAAAGAGTGGTGAAATTGAAAGAAAACTTGACGACAACTCTATACATTACTATTTTCGTAAAGTTTTTTTTTTTGGTGTTGATGATGAGGAAAATAATAAGCGGTCAAAGAACTGAAGACTTTAAGAGAAATGGCCAAGTGTGTCAATAAATAAGTGTGGGTTTTTTTTGAGATGTTTATTGGGCATCGAGTTTCATTTTGGCAACTTTACTATTAGCTTCACTTTGATGCAAAAATGACTCAAAAAGATTTCCCAACTAGTCATGCGGTGGAAAAAGCGTTATGAATGGCTTTATGCGAACAATGATGGAACGGGAATCTGTGGTTTTGTGAGCGAAAGGAAAAAGCGTCAAAATCGTCATTCATAATCCGGATCGGTCGGAGTGGAATAACTCGAAAGTGTCATTTTGAATGATTCTACATATTGTACATCTTTTTTAACGATCCAAAAAAGAATTCTGCAGTGGTCGCTTCTAGAATATAGACGTTTCAAAAAGGTACTAAAAAACGACTCGGCTTAAACTTATAATAAAGGATAATTTTTGACGAAACCTTGGTCTAAATTATTGACAAATCAAAAGCCCAACTTAAGAAAGCTATTTACAAAATAAAAATAAAACAAATTTGGTGAACTATTCCATTATATTATTTCCCAACTAGTAATGCTATGGAAAAAGCGTTATGAATGGCTTTATGCGAACAATGATGGAACGGGAATCTGTGGTTTTGTGAGCGAAAGGAAAAAGCGTCAAAATCCTCATTCATAGTCCGGATCGGTCAGAGTGGAATAACTCGAAAATGTAATTTTGAATGATTCTACATATTGTACATCTTTTTTTAACGATCTAAAAAGAATTCTGCACTGATCGTTTCTGGACGGAATATAGACGTTTCAAAAATCAAAAAACGACTCGACCTGAACTTGTAATAAAGGATAATTTTTGACGAAACCTTAGTCTAAATTGTTGACAAATCAAAAGCCCAACTTAAGAAAGCTATTTACAAAATAAAAATAAAACAAATTTGGTAGACCATTCCATTATAAAAATTCCTTTGAAGAGTTTTGATTCTCGAAAAAAAGATCAAAATTCGGTTTTAAAGTTTTTTTTCAAAGTTTTAACAAATCTAATTTCTATTTTATTTGTTTTAGTTAGTAAACTTCTTTCATTTCATATTAGTGACAAAACAATTATTTAAAAAAACGGAGAAGAAATCTTGAGTTGAAATTCAGCTCTCCCATTTTTGCTGCCTTTTTTGAAAATTCAACAGGCTCTTTAAAAGGAAACTTCTTCAAATTCTTTTTATATTTTTAAAGAGAGAATCTTTGGATTTCTAAAAATACTAATCAACCCGGATCATCTTTAGTTACAGTCGTTGGCTTTTTGAACCACAGTTTCTTTTGCAAGCACCTAATACTTTTTGGCTATACCAGCACCATCATACATCAACAATATCAAATTCATAGCTAAATTAAAGTTCAGATTAGGTTAGGCATTAGGTTAGGCAATCAATAATATCTTGCTTCAAATCCTTTACTGATTGAGCTCACTGTCAGAGCTCATGCCAAACACAAAACTCATGCTTTAATTTCGTTTGGAAAATTGATCTTGACTCTGTTTTGGTTTATTTGTACAGTCTTATCACTCCGTTGAGTAATCCATTTCTTTAGCCATTTTATTTCAGAAATCCCTTGAGTTCACTCTAATCTCGTCAGTGATCATTTCAAAATGACGTAGAGATCTTTTGTTTTCTGCAAAAAGTGATAACATCAAGATTTTGGCAAAATAAAGCAAGTTTTCAACAAGATAAGAGAAGTTTGGCTACAAATTTAGGTGTTGTTGTGCTGTCAAATCAAAAAAAAAATTGCATAATATTGCAAAATTTCAAATTATTTATTATTGAAAAAAACTTGGAAATAAATATTTGATAATCGGAATGGAAAAACAACTTTTGAACCAACCCAAAAAAAAAACAAAGAAGAAGAAGAGAAATGAGACGAGAAGAGAAGAGAAAAGAGATCAAATCCCGCGTGGAACTTTTAAATGTCAATAGTAATTTGATTTTAAAATTTTAAAAACAAATCAATAATCAATAATATAAATATAATTCTTATAGATAATAAAAAAATTCGTAGAAACCTAGAAAATGAGCAGTTTACGCGTCAGCAATCGGCTTCTCATCGATTGCGTCGAAATCTTGCGCTTTCAACTTCTCCAGCTTTTCCTGAATAAAATTTTATTCTTTATTTTAGCATTTTCGATGCAAAAATGTTCTAGTCAGGTCTAATTGTTAGACATTTCATAATTAACAGTGGCAATCCAACTTTGAGCTCAAATTTCTTTGTGTTCGGCTGTGCAATTTAAATAGTTTTTGTACCACTCGATAGAGAAAGACTTAGCGCATCTAATGATATCAATAATTTATAAATTGAACAGCCGAACACCGAGAAATTTGAGCTCAAAGTTAGATTACCAGGTCTTGAGGCTTGCAAGCCTGACCAAAGCTTAGCTTCATTTCTGGCTCATGGCTCCTAACGGTCTCAAGAATGTTTTTTGTCGTGTCCAAGACCAGATCAGGTAAGGTAAGACCAGAAGTTGAGCCAGGACCAGAATTTTTGCTAGAGCTATATGTTAAGGCTACTTTCTCAAAATTTTCCCCACCTCTAGCTTTTTATTCGACTTTTGAATCTCGGCAGTGAACTCGGTGAACACGTCGGCGATCGCGTCGATCATTTTGCTGAAAATTCTTTTCGAATTTGAACTAGTTAACTTATTAAATCAAAATACTACTTAAAAAGTAAGATTCCAAAACTCACCGGCATTTCTCGGCTTTCTCATTAGCTTCCTTCCACGAGGTTTGCGTTGAGACGAGTGGCTTCAAGTTGTACATCTCCTAAAAGAAATGATAATTCATGGTTTTTGCGTACTTTGTGCTAGCAAGTGAAGTAACGCAAGCTTTCTGACGCACCTGCTCAAAAAAAACAATTATTTATGTTCAAAAAAGGAAACACTTCTTTTTGGCACTCTTTTTCAAGAGAAAATCTGGTTAGAGTGCACCAGAAGAGGTGTGTTTTTAATTTTTAGTCACAAAAAGTACTTTTCTTCTCACTGACCGCTTTAATTTCATCATACAACTCAAAAGTTTCATTGCACAGATTCGAGAGTGGTGTGATGTGCTGATCGACTTTCTGGTCAATCAAATCCGATAATTCTTTTGCGAGTCCATAAATCTAAAGATAAAAAATAAAAGATGAATGTATAGTTGATAGTAATAAGTAAAAAAAAAATTGAGACTGACAGTCTTTTTTCGTAATCTGATTAGATTAGAGTCGTCTGATCGAACGCTTCTCTAGAAACAAAAATAAAAAATAGACTGAAGTCTATCACTATCACTGATCACTGATACGAAAGTTGAGCTTTTCAAAAAGCGATAAGAGTTATAACTAGTCTAGATTAGTTTTTAATATTCTTATAGATAAAAAAGAAGATTTTTTTCAAGAATCAATTGAAAAAGTTCTATAATTTTTCTACTTGACTTTTGAATAAGATCCAAGAGCGTCAGTTTTTCCTGTGAAATTTGCTTTAGCTCTTCTAACTAACGAAATTTTAGCTTTAAATGTCAATGTTTTTGACTGGTTTTTAGGTTTTCCATCTTCGTCTCATTGAACTTTATCATTTGAAATCAAAGCACTCACCTCTTCATTCAACAACTCTCGTCCATCGTGCATCTTGTGTTTCTTGTAGGCGCAGAGGCCGCAGATCTGGAAATCGTTGAATTTGAACAGTTTCAATCGAGTAAGGCATAAGGCCCAACCCCTGACGGCAATGGGATACGTGTAGCTCATTGGTAGAGCGTTCGCCCGGTAAGCGAGAGGTCGCGAGTTTGAACCGCGCCATTTGTATTCCCAGCCCCATAAAAGGACCAGCGTGTCAAAACTTACAATCACATTGCAATCCGCACAAACGATCATCTGATCAAGATCATTCTGAAATAAGCGTATAAGGATTGAAACTAAAAGAAGCACTCAAACCTTTGTTGACAAGAGGAACATTCGTGCTTCGGTGACTCCTCCCACGAGCCTGAATTTGAATTTTCAGATGAATTTTCAATTCTTATATCTAATAAATGATTTTTATATCAAAAACTATAAGTTTTTTATGTTTAATTTTTCAAATTCACCAGTGAAAATGCTGGGCGTATGCAATTTGAAGCGTTTCACATCGGCGGTGGATGCGGTTTCGGTGTCTTTCCTAAAATTCTCAGTTTGTTTTAATTGAAATTGAATTTGCATTTCAATATTGAACATATCTATTAATATTGTTGATATGTTTATAGTTTAACATAAAGCTAAAACCTCTCACTCACGTCTTCAGAAATTTTCTCTTCACCGCGCTCGTTTCGGCGGTAGATTTGCTCGAGCAGGATTCCTCCGATTTGCAGTGATTCTAAAGAAAATTTATGTTTCAAAGTATTATCTGATTAATTATTTGATTGAAAATCGAAAATGAGAATAGTTATTTCCTAGGTTTTTGAATTTAAGACTACCGGTAGCTCGACGATCCTCGCTATCGCCGCTAGTGTTGCTGAGAGTGGCGAAGAGAGCGATTGGTTGCCTGAACGAATGGAGCTTTCAGTAAAATTTTGTCTTTTCAAAGCTTACGTGGTATCTTCTTAATTTCTACCTTCATCACTATCCATTTCCTCTTTGACATTGAAGCTGTAGTCGGAGACGGAGAGAAGCGGATCGTGATTCTCGTTTTCCTGAAAAAAAAAACTTTTAAGCGATACTAATATAAAACTTTCTAATAACTTTAAACTTAAACCTTTTAATAGCTTAAATAACAAATAACTTTCGCATACCCGAGCCTTGATGAGTTGCTTTTGACCGGATTTCTGAATCTCGTCGACTCGATCGGGGAAGCACACTCGACCCAGCTCGATCCAATCCAATAACATCGTCTCGTCTCTAAAAAAAGAGCCCATCATTTATTTTAGATACAGTTTTAAATTCAAATTCTAAATTCGATTCAAATTTCAAAAAAACCTACATATTATCCTTTACATTAGCAGCTCGTTCGCAGCGTTTCGTGTGTGTATACGCTTGATGGAATTGGGCCCAGCCGTAGGTGCAGCCTGAAATTTTACGTTTTACCTTTAATCTAGCCATTATTTGATAAAGTTATTAGAGATATTAGGTTTTTCTCAAACCCACCAGTACACGTGTATCGTTTATTCGTCGAGTGAATACCGATGTGGCAAATCAACGCGAATGGAGTCGGATTCGAGAGGGAAACGGTGCAACCATTGAACTAAAATAGATAAAGTTGATTCGCGGTTTAACGATCCCAAATTTATTGCGTAGCTGCCCAGAACGGCCAACGTTTGCGTCTGGCTGAGCAGCTAGCCAGAAACAAAGTTTTAGAATTTTAAAAACGTTGTAGCAAGAGTCGACTGTAGTTAAATCTTATCGAAATACGACCATTGAATAAACTTTTTGAAAAATTTAGCCCAGAGAACCCAACCTGACATTTGCTGGGTCCAAACTTTGACCTAGTCGTGTCGTGTTTCATCGCCGCACAGTTTTGCGATCTAAAATCTGACTTGAAAAAAACGGCTTGACATTGAAAAATACCGTAATGGTATTGTAATGGTACCCCACTCCCCTCGTACAGCCGCGTAGTCGCAAAAGTTTTTTAGTATTTCATTTTTTTTCAAAGCGCCCGTACTTTCAAAAAATGCGTCTTTGGTATCAAAAAATAGACCTGAATTTCAGCTATTTTTTGATACCTAAGCGCGCATTGTAGCATAAACCAGTGTCGAGAAAAAAAATCGTTCAAAGCTAGACTACGCAACACTCCGCACCGTCATTATGGGGGTGGGGTACTATTACAGTATTTACGGTAAGTTGAAAAGTATCAAAAACCAAATGGCTAACAAGCTTTTTGAAAAAATTCAACACCAATAAGCATAAAAAGGATGAAAAAAATCGTCAAAACAGCAAATTCCTATATTTTTCTTTTTGAAAAACACAAAACTGCTTCAAATTTCAAACTAAAAGCTAAAATTTTCATTCAGAACTGATTAATAATTTAAAAGTTAAGAGATTTTTTTGAAAGTTTGAAATTTTAGGAATACAATTACAATCATTTGTTCCCAAAAAAAGAGCAGATGTGTGAATTGTTTCGCAGAAATTTCACACAATCTCTCGCGAATGCAAAAGAAAAAGGGAGAAAAGTGTTTGCGAAAATCGAGCAGATAAATCGATACATGACAGCGGGTGAAAAAATGAGTGAAGAAAAGTGGAGAAATGGGGACTGTTCGATCATCGCAACAACAAGATATTGTGCTTGAGATCTCGTAATTACATTCAATAGAAGGACAGATGCGCAGTTAGATAGTGAAAAGCTGAGTGAACTTGTTCAAATTGAAAGTGGTAACGAGCGGGCTTTAATTAATAATAAATTAAGGGGGTGGGACAAATGCGACCTTTTTTTTGCGCGCCTGGACATTTGCGCACCTTTTTTGCTGGAAAAGGCCTTAGGAAAGGTCGTAGAGCTTCAAAAATGTTTTCATAGAAGGGAATCGTATGCGTAGATTCCGAATTTCGACAAATCAGACCTCGCATACGATTCCTTTCTATGAAAACATTTTTGAAGCTCTACGACCTTTCCTAAGGCCTTTTCCAGCAAAAAAAGGTGCGCAAATGTCCAGGTGCGCAAAACAAGGTCGCATTTGTCCCACCCCCATAAATTAATAATAAGTACAGTCGACTCTCAATAAAACGGAACTCTATATAACAAAATGGAATTTTGGTCCCGGACGATGTTAAGCTTTATAACGGAAGGCTTTATATAAAGGAAACATTTTTTGCTCCCTTTCATTTCTTTATAGAGAGATTCAATTGTAGAAATGAAATAAAAGTTGCTTATTTCTAAACTTTATCGTGAAAAAATAGTGAGTTTTTGAGTTTTCAAAGTTTCAAAGGCAAGCAAACTTCCTCGAAAGTTCAGGATTGACTTTTTAAAACCGAATTTCAAAAATGGGATTTCACTTTTGTAATATTTTTTAAAAAACACTAAAAGAAACAGATTAAGATTTGATTAGCTCAAAAGTTCTGAAGCTTTTGAACATTTTTAATGGATTGTTTGAAAGAAAATGACTAAAATTGTGAAGTATTCGAATCTTTTTTGAGAAAAGTTTACTTTTAGAATAGCTGCTCTTGACCAGAGAACAAAAAGCTCTTTCAATTTGCTATTTTAAAAGCTATAGTTATCAAATTGATATCTCTTTTTGTAGTGAATTTCAAAATTTCCCTGCATTTGGCTGACATAGAACTCAAACTACAAATATAAAACAAATTTCGAAAACGAAAAATCAAACTTCTCTGAGATTTTTCTGCAATTTTTTAGCTAAATTTTGAAATTTTCAAAGTCTTCAGAATGAAAGCTTTAGCTGAAATTTGAACTTTCAAAAATTTCAACTTTTTATTTTCGATAAAGAAATGAAATATGGGGAAATTTCAAAAATGAGTCAGTTTGAATTTGGGGGAAAAGATTGCGGAGAAAAGAAAAGGCCACCAGAAACGAAACAACAAAAAAAAAAAGACGAAAAGAAAAACTCGGAAAGCGGAAAAACCGGGAAAAAAAATTTGGATCAATATGGCGGCAAAAAGAGAGGAAAAACGGGATGGGGAAAGGGGGAAACGAGTGGGGAAAGATGGGGCAAAGAGACGAGAATCCACGATCGAAATTTGAAAGGGCAGAAACGCTTTCAAAAGCACACTAAGGTTCGGAGAGTGAGAAAAGGAATCAATTCACAAATTATTCTTTACTTTTTATTGAAAAAATTAGTATCTTCGAATAATGTGCGAATTGGGGTTTTTAAAAATAATGAAAAATGAATACATAAGGAAAACCACTAAACCGATTATTTGTTTTCTTTTTAGAACAGACTTTTTGTGAGCTATCTTTTTTTTTAATTAAAATAAGTTTCATTGAAAGAAACTGTTCAAATCATATCGTTTTTGAACATTCAGCGGGGGTGGGACAAATGCGACCGAACAAATGCGACTGCGGAAAAGCGTTAAGTTGCGTAGCTTTTGCCTTTTAGCCCAAATTTGACGTGTCAGCGAGGTCTGATTTGTCGAAATTCGGAATCTACGCATACGATTCCCTTCTATGACAACATTTTGAAGCTCTACGACCTTTCCTAAGGCCTTTTCCAGCAAAAAAAAGGTCGCATTTGGGCCACCCCCACATTCAGCTTCATGCTAGGCCAGGTGGTCTAACTATCAGCCTGACCCAAAAAAAAAAACATCTTTGAAGCAATCCTGGCAAGAGTGTTGAATAGAATTTAAACATTGAGCTTTCATTAAAAGAAACGGTTCAAATCATGTCGTTTTTGAACATTCAGCTTAATGAAAAACCTTTAAAACAAAGCTTTTCAAAAACTTTCAAAAGTTATTTTCAAGAGAAATTATTAGGCTATCTAAAAAAATCGTATTTCATTTGATAACTTGAGACTTATTCAATTAGAAAATGAATTTAAGTAAAAGTACTTCATACATTTGTTACAATGTCACTTTAACTTTCAAAATGTACCGCTTTTAATTGCTCGAATTTTTTGCAAAACTTTTGAAAAAGCTTCAAACAAATCTCCTGAAAGCAATTCATTTATCTTACTAGGAAACTGTTTTAACTTCGCATCGAGTTAAGCTACGAGACCTAGTGCATAGTGCATCGGATTCTATGCAAAATTCTGAGCAAAATCCAGTTTTAAAATCAACTCAACAGGGCCTTTAACCCGTTTAAAAACACGTTTAAAAATTGGGAGCGCGAAAAATCTTCGGAGCTTGGTGATCTAAGCCTTCCCTCGTCGATCTTCGAAAATGACCGGTCGGCCTTAGTGTGCTCGACTTCGGAAATACGTTTTGATTAGCTTGACAATTAAAAATTCTATTCAACACTCTTGCCAGGATTGCTTCAAAGATTTTTTGGGCTAGGTTGATAGTTAGACCACCTGGCCTAGCATTTTACTGCCAGTCTCTTCCGGAAAAAGTCCCCACCAGAATCCAGCCATGAATCTGGCCTGGCGTACAGCTCATCTTCTATGCTGCACGCATTAAACATTGTTATTTCCTTTGTTACTTGCAATTTCCCTTGGGGATCATTTCCGTTTTTTCTCTCCGAAACATTGTGATTCGGAATTTTCCCATTATCTTTTTGGTGTTCAACTTTTCTCTTTTACAATCCTTTTTGTCAAATTATTGAGGTCAACCTTTGAGCCAAATGATTTTACGACAAAAAAGAATTCTTTTATCACAAGAAATAGAAAAAAAATCAGAAAGAATCGTAAAATCTCTTCTTGTTTTTTGTAAAATTCACCATTTTTATCAAAAAACCAAATGATGATTGGGCATAAAAAGGGGTGATTCATTAAAAGATCACAAAAAAAAATATTTAGAAAACATTTGGAAAGATGTCACAAGTGAAAAAAGAAAAGAAGCACCAAACCCGCCATCAAGAACCCGTAAGAGTAAGATTTTTTTTTTTGGGTGAAAGTTGAATGAAAAAGTGACGCAATCAGCCCAATCGCAATCATGAAAAAAAAGTCAGCGAATTTTCTTGCAAAAAGTCTAGTTTCTTTAATAGTATTGGTATGTACAGATTTGGGTTCACTTAAAAATCCTGATTGAAAAATCAGTTGTGCTTCTTTGAGAGAACAAAAATGAGGACAAGAGAAGCGGCGACCAAATTGAGGAAGATAATCGTCACGATTTTCACATAGAAGCTAGCTCGGCGCGGTGGTTCAACTAAAATTGATTCATCACAAAAGTTTGAACAGTTGAATTTCTTTAATTTCTGTAAACCAAGTAATAAAATTTTATTGAGTTAAGATTAAGACATGTGAAAAGACTCACTGGAAACGTTTTCCCATTAGGAGTAACAAAATTCACTCATTAAGTTTACCTTTTAACAGTTTTTGTAACTTCTATTAGTTCAAGTCATCTATTTGTTTAAAAACACATGTATTGTGGATTGAACCACATTTAATAATGTGGTACAAACAATAAAAAAAGCAGGCTAAAGCCTAAGCCCTAGGGAAGGAAAAACCTATATCTGGAAAAAAGATGTATTGATCTAGCACCGGGATCGAGCCCTCGATCGCGCCCTCGATCGAGATCGCGGGATTGACCACCTGATTAGGATGCAGGACTCCTACCCAGTCGGCCACCGCTGCCTTGGACACCTTTTGAAGAATTTTCAAATACTTTCCAACTGACCCGCATTCAACTGTGTCATTTCCCCTTTCTCATCATCATCTCTCGTGATTCGGATTACCGTTGCTCCCGTGAATGTCACCGATCGAAGCGAACGAGGCCTCTAAAAATTGATCAAGTAAGAAAGCTGTTTACTGATTTGATTTATTTCACTTTTAAGTCACTTTTGCATGGTTTACCAATAGATAAAGGTTATTTCGATAAGCGATTGTTGACGATTATGCCAAAAAACAAATAAACACTTATGAAAGGGAAAGTTTTGAAATGATGTCTGCTCTTAAAAGTTGGAAA